ATGAATTTTGGGACGCTGTGTTTATAAATAAGACAGAATTACAAATATAACTGACAGTGTGTGGGTTGAGCATGTGGGCGCAGTCGGCCATGTCAGGTGCGAGGAAGCGGCCGGTGGTGCGGTCCACGTACACGAAGTGCACGAGTCCGGGGAACTCGGACAGATACTTGTGCAGCGTTAGGGAACTCGCATCCGTCTCGCGCGTGCACCGGGACCACATTAAGCGAAATAATTGATTCAGTTACAAATACACACAAACACACACAAAACATAATCACATAAATCGTTATTAATAATAGACGCAACAATTATAATACATACGTAAATATGAGTTTGCTGAGTAAAAGGTGACATATCGTTGGTTACCGCGACTATAAGATCCCACAAAAAAAATAAGCTTCATATAGTGACTTTGGTCTCAGAGACCAAAAAATAGAATTTGACTTTATATAGTTTCAATTTCACAACAATGGATCCATATTTAAATGTCAAAATAAAGCAACTGACTTGGTTAAACCGAGAAAGTGTTTGTTTTTTAATAAAATAGATTACGTGAATATTAATTTTAAAAAAACAACAATAAATACGAAAGCTTTTGATGCAGAACATTGAAAAGGATATGATCCGAGGCTGAAGTATCGCATTGCTTTGACACGAAGAAAGTCGATATACGGCGCTAGAGTGTTGGTGAGATCTTTCAATGGTTGGTCCATCTTCAGACTAGGTATGTCTGGCTTGAGGTGGTCGAGCAGAGCATCGAGCGCGGTCCTCATGGCCGTGGCCGTGGTCTCCGGCGTGAGGGGTGTCGTGGTGGTACACGACTTGCGCAGTTCCAGCATACGGCTGGTGAGTCTCGCGCACAAGTTGCTATTTGATTTGTTCTTACGTAGAGCATCTGTAGTCTGAAAAAGTAAATATAACATTTAACTCTTTATCCTATTTTTATCACTCTTCATTATTCTTTAACATCTAAGCTTATTTTTTATCACTATTTTGAATTTACGCAAATTTTCGACACTTTTAAGTTCATAATTTGTTCCAATACAATATAATAAAGAAAATTAAAAAAAAAATCAATTTTAAATTCTTTCGGTTTTTTTTGTTTCCTTTGGAAATTTAAAAACTGGCTATTATGGAAATATTCTTCGGGGGGCACAACGTGCCCCCGCGTGCCCCCACTTGTCATATTACTAGGTATGACGTAGAAGTGTGTATAACTAAGTATAACTCATCTTTGTGTTGCAGAAATTGATAGCGGTTGTCATTAAGAAAAGAAAAACTAGCAACAGCTAATTGTATTATATTAATTACAGTAATGTATTAAATTTATACCTTCTTAATTGCAGCTTCCAGGTTATCTAATGTGTTGGGCAGCATTTCCAAGTTTCTTTGCAGTAACAGCCTTTCCAGGTTTGACAATATCTGGCTGGACATATGAGCAGCGATGCCTATGTCCCTTTCATAAAAAAAATCAATAATCAAATGTAGATAACAAAATAAAAGGAATAATATATTGAATTTGAATTAAATGAATATATTGACTTAAATATAAAACTAAAATCTAAAATAATTAATAATAATATTTTAAAAATCAAAAAATAACACATTAAAATTGTTATATTAGTCAAATTGTACAGATAGACAAGAAATGCATACCTCATCTCCATATCAACCAGCACTAAAAGCACGATACGAGGCGCTACCTCCGCGATGTGCAAGGAATGCGGCGCACACGGCACCACCGCACCGCCCGCGCATAAGTTCACGATCGCACTATTCTCTTCTGACAACCCTAAATATATCTTACTAATATTATAAATGCGAATGTTTAGATCAATGGATAGATGTTTGTTTGAAGGTATCTCCAGAAGGGCTAAACGGATCTTGATGAACTTTGGCATAGATGTAGAACATAGTCTGGAAGTATACACAGGTTACTAAGTTTTTTTTAAGTCCACACGGACGGAATCGTGGGCGACAGCTAGTTTCAAATAAAAAAATGGATTACATATACCATACTGTAATGTCTTAGCTGTCTAATTGTAAGTTGAAAATTTAAAATGTGCTATGTTATCTTCACATTCTGAATTATTTGTCATACAAAATAAATTTAAACCACTTTTCAATACTAAAATTTATGTTTTTACATAATATATAATACATGAAAACCTAATGGTCACAAAGGAGTCAATTTATTATTCTTCATTCATAATTGTATATATTTAATAATCAAAATACTAAGTTCATTTTGATTCAAGACAGATATTTTTGTAAATAAAGGAACATGCAGATGAATTGATAACCTTCTCCTTTTTGAAGTCGGCTAAAAATATAAAAACTTACATGGCAGCCAAGAATTAGATGCAGTATTAGTATCAGATTTGTTAACATTCCTCCAATGTTCCTGTGCGGCAATACATTGAAAACTGAGTAGAATAAGATCTGGAGGCATTAAATCTTCACTGCCACGGCTAAAACAAACAAAGTATAATTTAAAAATAGTTTTAAAAACATAATCCGATAAGCTAGTCTAACAGGATATCACTAGTAGTGGAGAATGGAAGAACACATATTGTGGAAGGTCTTTATCAACACAGGCTGATGATAAAGGTGATCAAAACATTTTGAATAAGAGTCTGAACATTTGTACTATGTAGAATTAAAAAAAAAATTACCTTGAATACAAAGCCAGCATTTTATCACCAACAAACAATATGAGATGGTAATGTTGATATGATGCACATTTGATCTCCTTTGAAATAGTTTTGAGAGCATTTAGTGCAGAGGCGGTAGCACCACTCTCACCTATCACACCACTGGCACCAGGTATTGAGTCACCCTTGGTATGGCTGTCGAGTAACACAGACAACCAACCCTGGTATACAGGGGAATGTAACCTGGAACATTAATTACTTTTTATTTCATTATCTGTTAAATCTTTGTGAATATAAATTCATAAAGCATTTATGCCTGAATATAATAAAAACACCAAGTCATTCCATTTGTTTGTGTCTTTCTTCTCATTTTAGTGATTTTCTTTGGGAAATAATAGGCTATTTTAATCTTGTCTTAATAGCCAAGCTTATTCTATACTGGATTCCAAACAAATTCTCTAAGCTCTAGACAAACCACAATCTACAGTAAAATTAAAACCAAAACATTTTTGGTAAAACTATTATACTCCATGTATGGAAATTGATAAGCCTGTATATGTTTCAAAGAACATGAAGAATAGTATTGAGTTAAAATATACATAAAATACTTACAAATCTATGTTTTGTCCGCAGATATGCTGTACCAATGTTTTGCAATCCAATAGCTCTCTTTGAGCGTCATCAATATCATCCTTTGTAATGATCATGAAAACATGGTCAAGGAACTAAAAGTTTGAATTTCCAAATGAGTGTTACAGTTTAATAAATACTATTATTGTCAAATATAATAGGTTACCTCATCAAAGACTATTACAGTGTCATCCTTACACTGCATGGAGGAGTAAGTATTACCAAACTGGGCAGCCATTATGCGTTGTGATGTTATTATAGGTGACAACAATTGAGCAATATTATAACTGTCAGTAATATTCCCATCTGAGCTCTGAAAATACCAATGCACATCTCTCTAAATTTGAACATATATTATACACATACATTACTTTGTATCTACTAACGTAGATTTGACTATAAATTGATAAAACTCGATTCAATATTTATTATAGTATACTTGCCTGTTCATTTAGTGATTTCATACGCTGTAAAAAAGAATCATCCCATTTTGAAAACAACAAGTTGTTTACACTGTCGAATATCAGGGTAGCTTTCATGTTTTCCAAAATATGCAGTTTTGTCGTTCAAGATAAATTAACTGGAGGATTTAATGTTCACTAACAAATAACTTATTTGTGTATTTTAATTACAAATTTGAAGAAATTTTATAACAAATACAAATTCATAACAAAATCAATTGTAAATTCAAAATTTCTTCTTAGATCCGAGTCTGACGTAAAAGAACAGATGTTTGACAAATTAAGATTGACATTTGATTTGACGTTGATTTTTTACTTGAAAAAAAATCTTAAATAAAATAAAGTCCCAGCTTTTTCAACTAAATACTAAAAAAAAACAATATTCCCAGTTCTCCACTAGTTTTCGTATTTTTTGCAACAAAAGTAGTTTGATTTTTATTTCACATAGGCAGATTCTAGTAAACAAGACTATCTTTATTTTCGATAGAAATTATAGTCTAGATTGTGATTTTTAACCTGTACCAAGAACAAGTTTATTTGTTTACTGTCAAATTATTGTACTATGTCAATTTTAAAATTAAGAATCAACTATTAAAAGTTTATTTTTTTTACTAAAATATGAATAGAAAGCAAATCGCTATTGTATGTATTATTTCATTTACAATTTTAAAAAAAAATCTAAATTCCTACAATAAATTGTTTATTTACTTATTGCAGAAGAAACTGAAGTCAATATGTTACTTAACATTAGGCGGTTCCCTTTCCTATCAATTTATTTACTTCAAAAAGGACTTTCAGGGATATTACGATAATGTACTAAATCCCCTGACCCAATGGATCAGTCCCGAATTAGCTCATAAAATTGGCGTTCTTGCTATTAAACATGGAATGTTTCCCTCTGAAAACTACGATGATCCACATGTCTTAGTAAGTACAAAATTTTTATGAATAAAATTCAGATAACTTTTATTAAATAACTTCTCTTTTTGCAGAAAACAAAATTTTTATCTTATGAACTAAGTAATCCAGTTGGAATTGCTGCTGGTTTTGACAAGCATGGTGATGCCATTGTTGGTTTGAGAAATTTAGGCTTTTCTGTTGTCGAAATTGGATCTATAACACCAGAACCGCAACCGGGCAATCCAAGGCCCAGAGTATTCAGGTTACCAGAGGACAATGCAGTCATAAATAGATATGGTTTCAATAGCGAAGGGCATAATATTGTTTATGATAAAATAAAACATTTAGATAAAGCTCTTTTGAATAAAGGTCTATTAGGAATTAATCTAGGTAAAAACAAACTCTCCAATGATGCTATCAATGACTATAATTTAGGAATTAAAAAGTTTATCAACATTGCTGACTACTTTGTTATTAATGTAAGCAGGTATGTAAATGACTTAATACAATGGATACCTTTTTTTTGTAATCTATAAACATTTCCATGAATTTATTGTTTTAGTCCTAACACTCCGGGCTTGAGGTCATTGCAAAGTAAACAAGAGTTAAAAGATCTTCTTATCAGTATTAATAAGACAAGGAAAGCTTTGCAATCGGAAAAGAATCCTCCATTACTTTTAAAACTTGCACCAGATCTAAATTTGGAAGAGATGAAGGATATTGTTACGGTAATAACACAAAAAGAATCTGAAGTTCAAGGACTTATCATCTCAAATACAACAATTGATAGATCATCAATCAGTAATAAACAGTTTTCCACTGAGCCAGGTGGTCTTAGTGGAAAACCACTCACCAATAAGTCTACAGAAATGATTAGAACTATGTACAAATTAACTCAAGGTACCTTAATTGTTTTAAAAATCTGTTTACATATTATGCACTCAATGCTACTGTCTCATCCTGCAAAACTCCCTTTATTACATGAAAATTGTAGTAGTATTGAATATTTTAATCTAGTATTGATTTATTTTGGATATAAACCAGTACTCATATTATCTTATAGCTGCCCGCGTCTCTGTCCGCATGGAATTAAAAAAATCATAAAGTTTATGTGCTCTTCCTATCTTCTTTACGAACGCTAAATTTCATTGAGATCCGTTCAGCCATTCTGAAGATACCTTCAAACAAACATCCATCTAAACATTCACATTTATAATATTAGTAAGATAACAACAAGCAAAGTACTATTAAAAATAAGCTTGATACAGCATCCCTAAATAAGTGTGAATGTGAGAAGAAAAAAATTATACCAGCATGTGTTTTAATATTTTATTTTAAATACATATATAGTATGCAAATATATAATTTAATATTTTCTCAGGTAAAATTCCAATAATAGGTGTTGGTGGAATATTTAGCGGCCAAGATGCTTATGATAAGATTTTAGCTGGTGCTAGTGTACTTCAAATATATACAGCTTTAATATATCATGGACCTCCTGTTGTAACTAGAATTAAAAAAGAATTAGCTGAATTATTGGAGAAAGATGGCTACAGCAGTGTCAATGAAGCAATTGGTAAAAGTGCAAAATGATAATTACTTTTTAATACATTTTATTACATGTTTATATTTGTTTCATTTTTTTCTGTGCATCTTAGACTTTGACACTTTCGACTTCACCTGAAATGTAAAATATGGAAGTTACTTTATAAATAATTTGTTACATTGGCTTGTTAAAAATAGCATTTGGTCAAATTTTCCATTCCTATCCCCACAAAATATTATGGTAAACAAAATCAAAGACTTTTAAGAAAGAGATTAAATTTGGTCTAAATTCTTGTTAATTCAAATAATAGGGTTCAACAATAAGCTTATAAATATAACAGAAATATTATTACCTTTTATTTCACACTTTGGTAATCCTGAACCCAAATATTGTTTGCATTCAGCCAGATTTTGAACACTTGGTAGATCAAATAATATAAGAGTTGTAAGATTTTTTAAGACAATCATTTCCTTCAAGCCAGGGTCAGTAACATTTATACATTTAGATACTTGTACATGTGATAACACATCTTTGCCATACTCCAGTCCTTTAATAGCTCTGTCATCAATATATTTATTGTTGTGTAAAACTATTTTCTTCAACATTGTGCATCCATCTGAAACAAAAATAATAGTTAAAGTATTTTTAAATAATTTACATCATGTTTTATATTACTTACCTAGATGGGAAAATCCATAATGTGATATTGAAGAATCGGAGCCATCAATTTCCAACAATTTAAGGCTTTTCAGTTCCTCTGGGGGCAACAAGTTGTAATCTGCTAATTTCTTTCCATCTGCCCATGTAACTTTACCCCCGTTTCTTAACACCCATTCAGCACAAGCTCGATCCGGGCCCACCGTTTTTATGCGGTTCATATCTGGTTTATTAAACATCATATTTACATACTCCCAGAAAGACCTTGTTTGACCTTTCTGAGGTAAAAATACTTTTCGGGTGAGAGATCCCAGACACTAAAATTGCAAAAAAACATGTTGAAAACAATCCCTAACGAGATAGAATTATTAAAAGATTTTATTTTCAATACATACGCATCGTTGCATGGTAAAACACAAAAATTTTAATTTTTATGACTAATTATCTGAAGTTGCGAAAATTAAATACTGCGTAGTGTCCTGTAGGAAAAAGGATATGCGAAAGCGATGAACACTGTCAATGTCACTATCCCTTTCTTTCTGGTGTTTTTATTGCCAGAAAGTTTTCTCGGGATTCCCCTAAATCTACATTGAAACTCTCTATAAAACGAGTTAATAAGAAATATCACCACTAAAATGTTGTTTACAAAGTCAAATTATTTTTAGTGTCCCCTGTTCGCTGCCCATCTTCTTAGATTTACATCTTGCTGTGAGAAATTTTTTTAATCCGTTCAATAGTTCGACTGCGTGCGGTCTTTATTTTTAGTATCACGTTCTCAAACCTCCAATTCTCCGAAGTCTATTGTGCTAACCCAAGAGCATTAAGAGCTCCTAAATTTAGGGGAATTTCCCAAATTTGGCAATAATACCAAAGGCTCCCACCCGTCAATGTCAATGTCAAAAGAGTGTCAATACTTTTTCTGTCTGCCTACCTTTCTACTCCATTACGGTTTTCCACCATTTTCCAATTTCCACAAAGGCATTTTACTTAGCGTTCACTTTGTACGTTTCGAGAGCGAGACAATCATAGTTTAATCATATTGCGACTGGTTTTATCTTAATTATAAATATTTAATATCTGTTCAACAGATAGCGAAAAATACTGAAATACGATCCAGTTTAGTTCATTTCACGCTCAAACACCTACAGCGAGTAGTGTTTAACGTACAAAATATCTGTTATAAGCAATATTACAAATGTACTACAATTGTATTGGTAAGTTATTTTTGTTCCTAAAATAAGATCAACAATGTATATTTTGTAACTACAACGTTTACGTATTTTTAATTATTAAGAAACCTGCTATTTGTTATTTTGTAGATTTAGTACTTATGTTACCGATTACAGTCTAAAGCGCAATGTTTTTCTTTCAGATACGGCATTTTAAGGACAAATAGTGAATAGTGCATGTATAGATTCTTAGGTCTGCAACGAAGCCAAAGAAAAAATAATTTAAG